AAAGTCAGCATTCACCAGAGTAAAAGAGATTCACTTCAAATTTTTCACTGAAAAGCAAAAGTGAAAAACATATCACCCAAATAAAAGCAAGTTACCTAGGTTAAAGCAGCACTAGAAGTCAAAAAAGAAATCATTTCAAAGATCCTCTCCAAAAATCATTACACCTATATAAAAACTTCAGTCATCCTTAGCAAGGTAGAACCCCTTTGGGATTCAAAGCCAATTTTACTCTCTTCTCTTTGATCTCTCCTTGTATCCAACTTTCATAAGATGCAGCAAGAGATTTTCTTTCAGTAAACTAGTTGTAAGTTATTTTCAGTTATTGTAATTTACAATTATATTTTAGTAAGTACAATTCAATCTTTTGACACTGATTGATTAAATGTCTTTCCGCTTCTCATTTGGTATATATATAGTTGAATCACTAGGAAAGGAAATAAAAGCAGTTTTTGGTATGACATTTTAATTGAGGAGAAATGTAGTGTGCACCAAATAGATGTGAGTTGTTGGTGCCATTCAATGATTCAAACGAAAAATTTAAGTATTGAAATGAATCAAATTTAAACTAAATAATATTAAGAAACTTGTGGGCTTTTCGCAGTGTACAAGTGAAAAAGCCACGGATCAGGAATCTTCCCCAATTCAGGAGCAGAGATATCCTACGACTAAATCAAGTCCAGAAGACTATAATTGAAAAAATTACACTTTGACCCCTTATACGTATGGACTCAATTTTATTGTGCCCCTTGAACTATTATATTTTTACATAGCCTCTCAACTACTTTAGTTGATTTTCCACTACACCAAATACAAATGTCCATTTTCTTTTGGACAGAAATTATCAACATGTCTAGTGCAAAGTCAAATAAAACACATTGCTTAAGGGAGAAAATTAAATAATTTTTCGTGAAAATAATTAGAGTAATGGGAAACCCATAACATAATTGAATATATGATGTGAGAAGCATGGTAACTAAAAGGACAATGTAAGAAATGAATTATGGCTAGGGGTATCAAAGTATAATTTGATAAGTCCGACAGTTGGCCAGAACTTGAGTTCAATATCCTTCAAGAGAGGGCTATGGCCTACCCCAAACTAATTAGCCGGCCCAAAATCCAACCCAATAGGCCACACGCAAAAAGCCATTTAAAACCTTGCCCCAAGAACCCACCTGCCCTGCCCAGCCCAGCCTGCCCAACTCTGCTCGAACAGCAAGCCCACTTTCCTCTAAAAACAAAGTTATACACATCAAATTTGAAATTTGAAACTTGAAAAAGACAAATAGGTGTGTACATGTCAACCTAGTTGAGATTTGCTTATTCTATTGTGATGTAGTTCCTCCCCTATTTATAAATAAAATTATTCATTATTTACTTTTGGGCAATTTTGATTCTACTTTTAACTCAAAAATATAATTTATAAAAATATTAAATTACAATTGTTATTTTTACATAAAGCAGTATATAAAAAGCTCGTCCATTAAGCCCACCACCCAATAGGCCCATGCCAACTAGCTCTCCTAGTGAGTGGCGGGTTAGGCTGTGGATAACCTACACCTACCAGAAGTCCGACCTAGTCCACCCAATAACACTCCCAGATAAGGACTTGGACCTCCCCTACTCAGTCCCAACCCGAAAAAATTTCCCCGGCCAAACCATGGACACTCCTAATTGTGAGTGTGATTTACCTTTGGTGAAATTATATTTTGACCTCACTAATAATGTCTCCTTTTTCATATTGCCCCCTCAATTATTGTATTTCTTATATTGTACTCACAATTATGATTATTAATTTCACACTATCCCCTCAACTATAATTTTTTTTTTTTTTTCAGATTATACCACCAATTAGGGTTATTAGCATCACATTATCCCAGTATTTTATTTTGGGTCGGAAATTTTTTTGTGCTCACCAACAGATGACAATGAAATTTATTGACTAATAGTACCACTAATGGTTGCATCACACAATCTTTGAGAAAATTAAATGGAGATTAAACAAAACTTAGTACAACAAAAATAACATAAAAAACGACAGCATATCAACTTATGTTTTTAGTTATAGTGCTCCCTTGTAAGGTCACAATAATTAATACAACGAAAATATCGAAAAAACCAACAACAAAACCACAGCAAATCTACTTATTATGTCTTAGTTCAAATTCTACCTCCACTCCATTGTAAGCTCTCCATTCTACTCACCTCTTTCTTATTGTGGCACATCAGCAGCTGCTCCAAGGATAAAGCATATAACTTGGAATTACAAGAAGAACATTAACGAACCGGCCTGCAGAGAAAATAATAATAATTATCAAAATATAATGCAACAGAATTATCCAAGAAAGAATATAAGGAAGTAATTAAACGATAAAACTATGTGCACCAAATTATCTGCAATCGTTGTTGGATCAATGATGAGACCTACTGATCTAATAGCTACAGATGATTTAGTACACATTTTGGTGAACACTTTTGGTATGCATAGCATTGCTTTTAATTAAAAGGGTGATTCAGTGTATGAGGATCCCGCTATTACGTCACTTCAATCCCAACAAAACCAAGAGTTCAAAAATAATGAGTGAGTTATGTAGTGTTTAAGGATATCTTTAATCCAATAAACTAGTTATTTCATCAACATCATCTTCTATAAGAAATTATACTTATGGTTGTATTTCTCATTGCCTCTTGGAGTAATAAAAGTGCAGGCCTACAATCATAGACTTGTAACTTGGAATAACCATCATGTACAAGTATTTTTTAAAAAAAATCATTTCTAGACCACTATAGAGTACTATAACTCCGAGTCAAATTAAAACAATCATGCTTGTGATTGAATGGGTCATTGCCGCTTGGGAGTGCCAAGTGTTGGGGGTAACAATCACATGGTTGTGTCCCAGACACCATTTTGTGCAAATATTTTTTGCAAATTAGTTCTATATGTAGTTCACCCTGACATCCTCAATTATAAGGACCAAAATGAGTAACCTTTCTGACTCTTTAACTATATCTAATAATCGAAACTTGTAAATTATATATTACACTTTCGCTCGACTTTGAGTGTGTGACTAATAATGGATTAAATTTTAAGTGCAATTATATCATAGGAACTATGCTAAAGTGAGGTACGTACTCTTTTTCCTCCCAACACTAAAGAGTAGCAGGAACTAAACTGGATCATCACCACCATCCTTTTTACCCCATCTTTGTATTTTTCATCGATAAAGATTAATACATTACCTTTTCATTCGTAATCCGAAGCAATGTTTCTTGTTTTTTGGCTTCTCTTTCTCCGGAGAGAATGGGCGTCGAAGCAAAGTTACTGGTGTTGTTTCAACCTCTTGGTCGCAGACTTCACACATGTTATTTCCTAGCTCATTGAAGTGGTGAGATGCACATTTGTCATGGGCAAGACCAGTTTTGCAATTGCATTTTGTCTTGAGAACGTTTTCTTCGACAAATTTGTTGAAGCAAAATTTGCAAACTGCTAGTTCTTCAGGAATCTCTTCATCATCTTCTTCTGGAGAAAAAAAATGAGGTTATAACAGAAATAACAAGGACAAAAGAAAAACAAATGATTACATATAAATAGATAACAAGATTATATATAGACGGCTTTTATTTATCTATTTATAATCTAAAATTTGAATAGAACTGCAATAGTAAATATGACAAATTTTTTCACCCTACGATAAAAAAGTAAATGACCTGGGATAAAATTTTGTCACCCTAAAATTTCATTTGTCTTTTTTTTCCCTCTCGAGAGAGGTATGCTAACCTCTGAATAAAATACACTTTCAAGAAAATGTTGTCTGCACTAAATTTGTACACGGAATAATGTGACAATATCTCAATTATTGAATGTTTATTGAAGTTACTAGACCCGTTAATCCAACAACACACATTAATTTGATATAGGAAATTTGGTATAAATTTTAGCATGCGTTGCATTATTGACTTTTGCGTACACAATTATACCATCCATATACTAAGATGCATATAGATTATTTTTGCATAATTATAAATATGCTCTTTTTTTTTGACAAATTTAATTTTATTAAAAATATTCTCAAGAAAAAAAATTACAACATGGTACATTAGTTGTGCAAAATATTGGTAGTTGAGATTTATCATTGAAAGCTTAAAAGTGGAACCTCTAAAAGTTGTCTTAAGCTAGCGGGATTTTCTATGGTACCTACCATACTGATAGTTATGAATAAGAATAACTATTCATAACAATAAGAATAAACAAGTTGAATGATGGATTCAGTATCTACCTTTAGGTTTCTTCTCACCCCCAGAAGCTCTTGGTCTAATGATGACAATAATTCCACTAACCTGTATAAAATCTAACAAGGATTTAACTTATGTATAGTTTGATAACATTTTTTAAGTATTTTTGTTTGAGTAAGAAAAAAACTTTCATCAAAATACATGATTACTATTTTGCAAAAATAATTCTACCAGAAATATGAAAAGATGAAATTATAAATAAAAAAAACTAGTGTAATGGTAGGAATAGAACTAATTAATGATTAAAATGATAGATGGTTTAAAAATATACATTGAAAAAATATAGATGCACTTATGAGAATAGTAAATAACAGAAATATGAAGACCAAATTCGATATGAAAAGCGACTATGAAGAAGGGTATCGTTATTTGTTTTATTCTCAATTCAACTCAACAAAAATGTTGTTTAATATTATTTAAAATTTAATTCACATATGAATTTTTTTTCTATTTGCACTAGCATCTATCTTAAAAAAAAATATGTACGTTTGAAGACTATTATGAAATAAATATACATTTTTAATATTGGATAACTAATTATATATTCCACATATAAATAAATTTATTGTATTTTTGAGTTGATAATACTGATGAAAAACTACCTAGAAAGCATTATAATTATAATTATAATACATGTCTAAAGCCTTTTTTTTTTTTAATGAAAGCCTAGTCAATAATGGTTTGTTGCAAGCTGGGTTAATTTTATTTACTTAAATATTAGAGTTCTACATTTGTTTGTAAAATTATCATTATTTTGAAAATACTTTTTTTTGAAAAAAAAATGATAATTTAGCAAATAAGTTTTAAACTATCACATTTCATAAATAAGTTTCAAAACTACGATAATTGAATAATTAATTGTTCTACACATCCTCCCACATGTCATACAAACTTCCGTACATGTAGGTTAACAAACTGAATTGAAACAATAAGCAAATTGATTGCAGCTAAATTGAGACATTTAGACAAACAATCCGGAAATTCAATCAATTGGTTGAGAGACTTGACTCACCAACTTTGCAACACCCAGGGGGCGGAGCCAAGATTGTTTCACAGTGGGGCTCTAATTCAACTCAAATTCAATGTTTTATCCTTGAATTTTTAACAAACAACTTGTAAGATCAATGTATATTGATCAAGCAACCATGTTGTTTGAATTTTCAAGTGTTTGAATTAAATAAAATAGTTGAAAATCACAAGCCTTTGACCATGAGCAATGCAAAATTTCCTTAGGACTCGCGGATTGTCATAGTTACTTGCTCATTTTGTCATGGCTTTGTTTGTGGCATTTTAACAAACATTTAATAGGCAACAATGGTTTGAGGATAAAACAACTACATCTTGTCTACATACATTTGTTAAGGACTCCATTTATTTTCTAAATTGTGGAAATAACCCTATATGTTTTATAAATTTTCAATGGGGCAATCTTTAAACACTTCTGAAACTTTTCAAAATTCTACCTAGGCCCCAAAAGTTGTTAAAATTGCAGTGTGGACCGCTGCCCACATTGCAAATCCGCCCCATGGCAACACCTATCTCTAATACATGTTATAATATATAACTTAAAATCAATTGAATATTTGGTAGTCCTCAACCTATTATTATAACTTAGATCCGTTTGCTGCAAACACGTTATGTATGACTATTGGAATGACCGTCGCAAATGTAACAAAAAAATCCAAAGGTTAATGTAGGTGAATATAGTAATGTAAGCCTTGGAATTTATCATCTAGCCAGGTAGAAATCAACCAACTTACACTGAACTTCATTGGATCCCAATTCCCTCCCCCATTGGATGAAGATGGTTGTCGTTGAGCCAGCAGTCTCTATAGATAGAGAGAAATATTAATGCAATTTCTTTTAGTGAAAATTAGAGTTTGTGTCATATTAAAATGGGATTTTTGCATTTTGCACCATGAAAGATATCTCGATTCTTACTTTATATCCCAAAAATTTATTTTTCCCACATTACACCCTGAATGTCATAAATTGGTTCCAATGTGGCCCTCGAACTAACTTCTATTTCAAATTCCGTTAAAAATTAATGCACATGTCACCCAAGGATATGGATTNTTCTAAAATATATTTTTCTATAAATTGAATATTGTTTTCATGACAGACACAGCAGGGCAGCCATGGGATGGGGCATTTGACTTTCTACGAAGCTCCCCTCGTGCTCTGACTATGACAATACTTGAAACCTCTCCCGTCTCTCTAATATTTGTCCCGGGTAATTCGTGCACGAAGATGCAGCGTAATATAAGTGAGAAGTGATACATTTAAAAAGGGAGGAATTTTTTGTAAATGATTTTAAAAAAGATGTTAGTAGTCGTTAAATGAGTCTATGGACTTATTGAAATCTGTTAAATTTTATATTATAAATTTGACACAAATAAAAGTAATATTGTATCATTTTTAATATTTTTACAAATTTTATATTTTACTANAAATTTATACTTACATAAAATTTATCCAAAATCAACTTCAACATGATATATCCAGGAATAGTGGCAAAGATANAAAGAGGAGGATGGAGAAAGGGAGGGGGAATAGATCAGGAGGAAGCAAACAAGAAATAAATATGAAAATGCAAGGAAGTACAAAATAACAACATAATTTAAAAGAAAGTCTAAATCATAGAGAAATACTTTAAAAGAAAATAACAACAATTGTTCCTTGCTTATTCTTTTTATTAATTATTTGAAGCAATCTTAGAGAAATACTTTTAAAAAAAAGTCTAAATCAGAGTTATTTCTATCTACCAATAAACAAAAGAAGCGATAATGAATTTTTAGGGATTATATATAATTTAAAAAATTTATAATTATTGCTCACTATATACTCCCCAGTTGTGATTTGGATTAGGCGAGCCCATTCATCCGAGGATAAGGAATCAGCATTGGTGGCTTCAGCAGTAGTCACAGGTGTGTTTTCTATTTTCTAGCAAATAAGGAAAATCAAGTATAAGTGGAGAAAATGGAAGGAGAGTCGTTTGAGAGAAAGAGAGAGAGAGTAGAAAAACAAACCTGCGGGGAGGAATTTCCATCGACAATCTCAACCGGCGAAGGCGATGAGGAATCAGCACTGGTGGATTTAGCAGTAGTCACTGGGTTGCATTCCATTTTTCCTTGGGAATAATCTGAAGAGAAAATCACAAAATGGTATATGACGGTGGCAGAGAAGATGAGATTGTCTACTAACTTAAATATAAAAATAATTTATAGATCTACAATGTGGAAAGAGGTAGAAGATGCTATGAAATTTCCATCTAAACCCAGAAGTTTCTGAGAAATGGAGATTTGAGAGATGAGGAATCACCACTGGTGGCTTTAGCAACAATCACTGGCTTGCTTTCCATTTTTTCCTTTCTGATCTGAAGAGAATATTGCAATTCCCGTGCCGGAGGAGATGAGAATATTGTCTACTTAAATATAAAAATAATTGTCCACAACTTCCTCACCACTGGTGGCTTTATTATCATTTCTCAACAACCGCCCCAACTCAACTTGGATTAAAAAACAAAAAACAACTACGAATACATTAATGATATTCGTAATGGGAATTAACAGTTTGCTTATTTTATTATTCATTCTGAAAATCACAAATAAAATGTAGATTGTAGGCAAAAGCACTGGAATTGTGTTCATCGTAGAGGGAGAACCATTTGATGTTTGAGTGTGGGGAAGTTGTGGGAATAATTTATGATTGGCATGTATAGGTATGGGAGGGTGAAAATAATATATTTTATTTTCACTCTCCCATACCTACACCGACGCGACGGGAACATTGCACATTATTACAAGTAACTTATTCTAAAATATATTTTTCTATAAATTGAATATTGTTTTCATGACAGACACAGCAGGGCAGCCATGGGATGGGGCATTTGACTTTCTACGAAGCTCCCCTCGTGCTCTGACTATGACAATACTTGAAACCTCTCCCGTCTCTCTAATATTTGTCCCGGGTAATTCGTGCACGAAGATGCAGCGTAATATAAGTGAGAAGTGATACATTTAAAAAGGGAGGAATTTTTTGTAAATGATTTTAAAAAAGATGTTAGTAGTCGTTAAATGAGTCTATGGACTTATTGAAATCTGTTAAATTTTATATTATAAATTTGACACAAATAAAAGTAATATTGTATCATTTTTAATATTTTTACAAATTTTATATTTTACTAATTTTTGACTATATATTCCATAATTTTTGAATCAAATGATGCTCCAACAAATCATACAAATACTCTAGGGAATCAATTTTAGTTTTAAGAGATTTGGTATAGACTTTTTTTTTTGTTCTAATACCTAATTTGTTTGACCCAATTAATTTTATTTTTCATAAATTATTACAGTGGACCCAATTAAGAATATCCAAAAAAAATATTTAAAACAATTATAACAAAAAAAAAAAAAAATTCAAGGTGAAGGTAAAATTCAATCTATAATATAAAAATTCTGCCCTCCACCACTACCAGAGAGTGAAGAGTGAAGTGTGAAGATTGAGAAGGGGAAGGTAAAATTCAATCTAAATGGTTTTGAAAGAAATGTTGGTGGCCGTTGAATGAATTTATTTGAGACCGTTGGATGAACTTATTGAAGTTTTTCTTGTTTTATATAATAGATATATTAACGAAATATGATAGAATTGACTTAAAAAAATATTAATTTATATACATATAATCAAAATCAAATATTAATTTATATACATATAATCAAATCGAGTCAAATCTAATATAAACTAAAAATCTAATTTATCAAAAAAACATATATCCAAAATATTTTTTATCAAAAAAAGATCTACAAATATCATTCACCAAGGTTCAAATTATTGTAAATAAATTAATCCCTAGTTGAGTCTATTTGAAACTGTCGAATGAACTTATTGAAGTCTACCATATTTTATATTTATAGATTTGACACAAATAAAATGAATATTCTATAATTTTTAATCTTCTTACAAATTTTATATTTTACTAATTTTTGACTATATATTCCATAATTTTTGAACTAAATGAGGCTCCAACAAATCATACAAATATTTTAAGGAATCAATTTTAGTTTTAAGAGATTTGGTATAGATTTTTTTTTTTGTTCTAATACCCAACTTGTTTGACCTAATTAAATTTATTTTTCATAAATCATTACAATAAGCCCAATTAAGAATATATGAAACATATATAACTAAAAAAATATTCAGGCTGGCTCTAAGCCTATCCTCCTTCTGCCACTTCCAGAGAAAGAAAGTGAGAAGAAGAAGATAAAATTTAATTTAAATGATTTTGAGAGAGATGTTGGTGGTCGTTTGATGAGTTTATTTGAGACCGTTAGGTGAACTTACTGAAGTATTTTTTGTTTTATATACATGTAATCAAAATCGAACATTAATTTATATAAATGTAATCAAAATCGAGTCAAATCTATTATAAACTAAAAATCTAATATATCAAAAAATATATCACCAAAATATTTTCTATCAAAAGAAAAAATTCAACAAATATCATTTATAAAATATTATTTTTTTAATTAGCACAAGTTATTACAAAATTATTAATTTATAAGAATATATTAGCATTGAGTTTTCTTAAGAGATAAAAAAAATTAGTCTTGAACTTTAGATTCAATATATGTGTAATACATGTTCGTTTGAGATAATTAATTAGATAAATAAAATTAAAATTAATTATATTCAGTATAATTGTGTTAAACAGCGCCCTTGTTTTTTTTATTGGTTAAGTTGATGAGTTTTTTTTAATCAAAATGTTATCATTGTATCTTATAAAAATTCAAAATGTTACACTACACAGATGATATTAATGACAAATTTGACTCATTTAATAATTATATCAAAAAAAATCTTGTGTTCCAAGATTAGTCATAATTATTGATCGGTTGGGAGGAAAATATTAAAGGAAGAAAATGGTAATCATTGACCTGTTGGGAGAGAAATATTGAGGAAAAAAAAATTAATTTTTTGACCGTTTGATGAATGAATTTGAGACCTTATGATGGGTTTGTTGAAACCGTCTTATTTTATATTATAATAATTATAATATATATATATTGTAAAATGTCTCAACGCCCTCTAGGGGTGTCCATGGGCCAGGGCGGGCTTCGGGTAGTGGTAGGCTACTCGCAGCCCAACTCGTGAATCTATTGGGCGAGCCTGTGTTGCGAGCTTTTTTATATACATTTTTATTTAAAAATAATGAATATTTTTGTCACTTAATATTTATGTAAATTATATTTTTGAATCAAAAATAAAGTCAAAATAGATAAAAATAAAATAATGAACTACATCTAATAGAATGAATAAATCTCAACTAGGTTGACACCTACTAACTTATCTATCATTTGTATTATTCTATCATTTAAAACTTATATGTTTAATACATGAAAAATAAAATAATACATTATTTATAATATCTAAATTTTTAAAACCTCAAATTTCGATATTGAGAGACTTATTTCAAAATTTCAAATTTAATGGTCTAAAAGTATAACTTTTTTTTCAAAAAAAATGTAGGATATGGTAGGCTGGGTTGGGCTTGCGGGCGGGCTCTTGGGCCGGGCTTCAGGCTGGGTAATGGGTTTAGAGGCAAACCCAAACCCTTTTTTAAAGGATATTGGGCTCGGACTCGGACANATCAAAAAAAGATCTACAAATATCATTCACCAAGGTTCAAATTATTGTAAATAAATTAATCCCTAGTTGAGTCTATTTGAAACTGTCGAATGAACTTATTGAAGTCTACCATATTTTATATTTATAGNGGCGGACCAACTATCGAATTTCGGGCCTATTTTTTTCGGACAGGATAACGGGACCCGTGGATAACCCGGCTCATAGACACCCCTAACGCCCACCCAAAAAAAAAAAAATACTAAGCCCACTCAAAATAATTAAAAAAAAAAAAAGGCAAGGCCTATCAGGCCACCACCCATTTCTTGTGCACAACAACGTACGTGCCATGTGGCTCCCACTCACCTGTTTTTTTTCAACGATTAAGAGTATAAGTCAATTTACGTGCATATCAATTAATCGTCTTCTTGATTCAGTCAAAGTCAGATCTTCTATATCGAAACTAAGATATATTCATGAGGGATAAATCTCTTNTTACAATAAGCCCAATTAAGAATATATGAAACATATATAACTAAAAAAATATTCAGGCTGGCTCTAAGCCTATCCTCCTTCTGCCACTTCCAGAGAAAGAAAGTGAGAAGAAGAAGATAAAATTTAATTTAAATGATTTTGAGAGAGATGTTGGTGGTCGTTTGATGAGTTTATTTGAGACCGTTANTTTCATTATTCCATTGCTAAGATTCATCCAGTTGAAGTAACTAATAACTTCAAATTGCAATAAAATAATAATATTATTAAATCATCAAAACTACTTATATATTTCTTTTTTAGTTTCTATTCATAGTNTTACAATAAGCCCAATTAAGAATATATGAAACATATATAACTAAAAAAATATTCAGGGTGGCTGTAAGCCTATCCTCCTTCTGCCACTTCCAGAGAGAGAAAGTGAGAAGAAGAAGGTAAAATTTAATCTGAATGATTTTGAGAGAGATGTTGGTGGTCGTTTGATGAGTTTGTTTGAGACTGTTGGGTGAACTTACTGAAGTATTTTTTGTTTTATATACATGTAATCAAAATCGAACATTAATTTATATAAATGTAATCAAAATCGAGTCAAATCTATTATAAACTAAAAATCTAATATATCAAAAAATATATCACCAAAATATTTTCTATCAAAAGAAAAAATTCAACAAATATCATTTATAAAATATTATTTTTTTAATTAGCACAAGTTATTACAAAATTATTAATTTATAAGAATATATTAGCATTGAGTTTTCTTAAGAGATTAAAAAAAATAGTCTTGAACTTTAGATTCAATATATGTGTAATACATGTTCGTTTGAGATAATTAATTAGATAAATAAAATTAAAATTAATTATATTCAGTATAATTGTGTTAAACAGCGCCCTTGTTTTTTTTATCGGTTAAGTTGATGAGTTTTTTTTAATCAAAATGTTATCATTGTATCTTATAAAAATTCAAAATGTTACACTACACAGATGATATTAATGACAAATTTGACTCATTTAATAATTATATCAAAAAAAATCTTGTGTTCCAAGATTAGTCATAATTATTGATCGGTTGGGAGGAAAATATTAAAGGAAGAAAATGGTAATCATTGACCTGTTGGGAGAGAAATATTGAGGAAAAAAAAATTAATTTTTTGACCGTTTGATGAATGAATTTGAGACCTTATGATGGGTTTGTTGAAACCGTCTTATTTTATATTATAATAATTATAATATATATATATTGTAAAA